GTGTGAGAAAGAGTGAGGGGCAAGGATAAGATCTAAGTATTTTGCTTACAAAATGGGTGAAAAATGGTAAAGGTATGAATCTGAGAGTTGGCAAACAAGAGGAGGCCTGGTTTCAGGAAAAAATTCAGAGATCTTCATGCTTTTGTTGTGTTCATTGATCAGCTTATGTAGCCCTTAGCTAGTATTCTTCCTAATCTGAACTGTACCTAGTAAACCCAAACTTCTATATTACTAACCAAATCTGGTAGAATAGTTTCATAAAATAAGTGTAAGGAGGTTCTGAATAAGAACCTTAATGGGACCCATAAATAAACTACAAATGTTTTATTGCAATAATTTTAAGAACAAGTATTTTACTGAGTCATAGGCTTCCTTTGTTTCCTTCCAGATCCAGGCCTTGTGGGTTTCTAGTACTTTGACAGAGCAAAAGGGAATTAAGATTCCATTTAAAACGCCAGTCTCAGAGCCAGTTTATCACTGACCATCTCTTTGTTTACAGCACTAGCCAAGTCTGAGCTGGAGGGACCTGTTCTCTCCCACTTTTGGTTTTTAGACTTTTGACTGTTAGCAGCTGCTGTATATCCCATTACCACATAGTGCTAGGTTCCCTCGGGTGGGTACCAGCAAGCTGGTTCAGGCTCCAGAGGGCACTGCTCCTCTATTCTGTCCCTCTGATCAGATAGGCATAGAGGGTAGCCAGATCACTAAGTTGCCTGTGTAACTAGGAAAGAGATTCTAGTAAGCACCCTCAAAGGCTACAATTGGTTCTATTGGAACACTTTTCAGTTGATGGAAGAGAAGCAAAAGGCCTAGCATTCTGTCCCATGTTAATGATTTCACAATTCCCCATGAATTTTCTTTCATCCCACAATTACCTCTTAATAAGGGTTGGACAAGGCCTGTAGAGTAATGTAACAGGGTTGGCTCAGTTTTTAATAAATCTTAATGGGGTGTGTCTGCTTTCTTTGATGGCTCTTTTTCAATAGTATTTCTCAAGCTTGGATGATCATAAGAATCATGTGGAAGCTTTTAAAAAAAACTGTTGACTGGATCCCACTCATAGATTTAATTGATCTGGGGTAGGAAGCTGGTTTAAAAACTCCACAAGTGATTCCAATGAAGAGCCTTTGCTAAGGAACACTGTTTTAAAATGGGGGTGGTACCCAATAATAATTATTTTTATCCCTAGGCTTTTATTGGTAATTCTGAAATTCTTGGAAGAATTCTATTCATTATCCTGTTACACAAGGTATTAAAGAATAACAGAAGATGCGAGAGTTTCTGGAACGCTGAGCCTGAAAGAAACCTGAAAGATCATTTTGTTTACTTTTCTCTCCAAAAGGGGTCTTTGAACCAACAACTTCAGAATCACTTCAAGCATTTGTTGAAAAGGCAAATTCTTGAGCATTATCTTTAAACCTCCTGAATCAACCTCTCTAAAGTGTGGGTGTGTGTGTGTCAGGAACCTACATTTTAATGAGTTCCTAAGATTATTCTTGAACGCATTAATTAGAAATATTAATTAGAGCTATTAATTTGTACTAGAGCTTCTCAACCCTGCCTGCACATTAGAATCATACAGGGGCTATAAAAGTAGCCATGCCATCTAGACCAGTGGTTCTCAACCTTGGCTGAACTTGAGCATCACCTGAAGGGCTTTAAAAAGCCTCATTCCAGGGCCTACATCAAACTAAAAAACTTCTGCTCAGCAAAAGAAATAGTCAACAAGGAAAAGAGACAACCATCCAAATGGGAAAATATATTTACAAACAATGCCTCCGATAAGGGCCTAATATCCAAATATGAGTTCTTTGAATATCCAAAATATACAAAGAACTCATATAACTCAATAACAACAAAATAACAAATGATTCAGTCAAAAAATGGGCAGAGGATCTGAAAAGACACTTCTCCCTAGAGGATGTACAAATGGCCAACAAATATTTGAAAACATGCTCAACATCGCTAGCTATTAGGGAAATGCAGATCAAAACCACAGTGAGATACCATCTCACACCTGTTAGAATGGCTATAATCAACAGGACAAGTAATAACAAATGCTGGCGAGGAT